GCTTGAGTGTGACAGAGATCATGGGGACAGCACAGGATAGAGCAAGGTTCAGATCTGTTGTTTATGGGCCCACTGTGACTCCCAGTCAATTCACAGCACCAAACAACAACAACGAGACAGGCTGCTCGTTTTCATTAGGAAAAAGCAAAGTATCTCTAGAAGATCTTGGCTCATGAATGATTCTTGTTGTTAATGCTGTCGAGTTGGAACAGATTCACAGCTAACCCTCCAGTGGGTTTTCAAAGGCTGTAAAATCACATGGGAGGAGATTGCTTATCTTCCTCTCATGGGAAAGCCTGAGGATTTGAACTGCCTGCCTTTGGGTTGGCAGCACAACTCCTTACCGACTAGGCCATCTCGAAGGATAAAGAACAAGAAATGTTTACCTGTTCCAAAGCCAATCCGAAGGCCTCCCAAAAACTGGTTGGTTAACTTGTAATGATCCCAGACAGTAAGCTCGACACAAGCTTCAGTCAGATCTTCAGGCCTGAACCCATCGTACACCATGGTGTGGTTAAAGACAGGGTTGGTGGTTTTCCCCACAGCTCTCGTCTTCTGGCGACTTTTCCTGCTTGTGTCTGGAAGGATGGTGCTACAAAAAAGAGGAATTGTTTTAAGATCATTTCAGTGAGACTGTGAACATTTAGAATTTCACTGTACTTCACACAGCTCATGAGAATTGGCAAAGTGTAGAGACAGTGTTGGAACATGCTGTTGGAAAGACTCTGAGCACAGAATTGGCCACATTTGGTTTAACTTCTGACTCTGCCAATTATTGACAATGTGTTCTAGGAGGATGGAGCCCTGGTGGTATAATGCATTACATGTCGGGCTATTAACAAACCCACCAACTGCTCCACAGGAGGAAAACAGGCAGTGGTGGCCTAGTGGCAAGAAGCTTCCCTGTAATCCCGAAGGTACGTGGCTGCAGGCCACTAGCCCCTCCACAGGAGAAAGGTGGGCTATCTCCTCTTGTGTGATTAACTGATTCTGAAAACTCACTGGGAGGTCAGATATGGGTCAGTTTCAACTCTAGAGTACACAACAACTTCTCTCACTTTTAACTGCAGAAACCTGAAGAAGGAGTTACCATGAGGTGGAATCAACTTGACAGCAGTGACTCTACAATGAGTTACTTACTCTCTCAGACACTCCACTTCCTTCCTTAAAAATGATATGGCAATGCCTACTTCTAAGTTGTTTTAGAATAAAATAATATATGGAAGACAGACACGTAGTTCAGTGCTTGCATTAAGGTATGTCAATTACTTGAAGATTGGAGACTTGGAAGCACTGTCTGATTTCTAATTATTGGTGAAAGCCTAAGTAGCTATAGAGAATTGGAAGGAGAGAAACCTCTCGAATCATTAGATTTAACTTTGGAATAAATGATAAGATTTTTTTATCAATCATTTGTCTTTCCTTCTTAATAACAGAATGATTGTTAATCTGTCATGCCTCTTACAAGGTAAGGAAGTCTAAAAGTAGCTCAGAATGGGAGACAATCATGAGGTGAAACCCTCACTTGGTGACACAGATGAAGAATAAGCAGAGGGGGAATATCACAATGAATGTTACATATACTCATGTGTTGCAACTGGTTTCTTAGTGGCACAATCCACAAAGATTAAAAAGGACTCAGGAAAGGATACTCATATCTATGCATTAGTTACAATTTCACTAGACGCCAGGCATTTTATAAGGAGCCCTTTTGTGTTATTATGTTAGACTGCTAACCAAAAGGCTGGCAGTTTGAACCCACCTGCTGTTCTATGTGATGAAGGTGGGCACCAGCTATTCTATGTTATAAAGTCTTCTCCCCTGTGCTA